AATCTATAAATCTATATATATAAAAATCTATAAATCTATATAAATTTTTTAGACTCATATGTTGTTCACTGATGGACCAGGCATTGAAGCAGCTTTAGAACAAAAAGAAAAAGAACCAGTACCAGGTCCATCAGTAACAGCACAAGCTATGGATATAGATATGCCAATTAGAGATGATGGTTTTGGTGGTCATCTTGGTCAAGATATCATATGTAAGCAAGCTACGTTAATGAATAGAAACAATTAAAAGGATTATGTTTATAACACTTTTTATTTTTTTATTTAGCTGGTGGATTGTTTGAGGGTGGTTTATTTGATGAAGCACCAATGGGTGAAGTACCTGTACCTGAGGTTAGTGCTGTAACAGAAACACAAGAATCAGGTGTAGTTTCTGGAGGTCCACCTTCTGTACATGATGAATCGGAAGAAGAAATGGGAGATCGTTTTGGTGGTCCACCATCTCCCATGGATGGAATGAGGTAATCAATGAATTATATTCATTATATGCATTATATTGCATTAAAAATTTACATTAACACGTTGAATACCATGGGGATCACCTGTGACCGGCGAATCAAAGATCAGTAAAAACACATAATTTGAGTAAATGTTAATATTTTTAAATTTTTTAATATTGGCTTCGTTACTACAATGGTGTAAAGAAATTAATGCAGTATAAAGCATACAAAAATTATTTTATTTATAATATGTATGCGTAAATATTATTCGCGTACATTATGATGTATCATATAAAAAATACTACAAACAAATAAAAGGTAAATCAATATAGTCTTCACAACTGACGACTTTTTTGGTACAATTTTTTGCTTTTGCTCTATCTGATTGTTTTGAATTTTTTTCATAACATTTTCTACAAAGTCGTCGCCCGATTCTGATTTTCTTGCCATTTGTTTCATTTCATGGTATAGTTTTCTCTATAGGCTTGTACGTGAAAAAATGCAACCCTCAATTACATTATATCGTTAAAATAAAATATCGTAAAAAATAAATGAAGAAATACATTTCAATGCCGTGGGGGTCACTGGTGATTCCCGGTAAAATAAATCCTTTAAACATGTTTATGATTCAACTTGTCCGTTGCAGATAATATTTATTCTTTAACATAATACTTATTGTATAATAAGAATCTCAGCGTATTAAATAAATATTTGTGTATAGTATTAAATTTAATATATTTTGTGTAGTACTGACGAATCCAGACCCGTTTCTCCAGCTGCACCTGGTGAAGAAATTGAAGGAAGAATAAGTGTTGCAAGTCGACGTTTTACTCCTGCTCCACCAAATGTCCCTGAAGAACGTCCAATGGAACCCATGGAAGAAGCTCCACCTCTGCAGGATCAAACTACATTATTACATGATGAAGAAGAAAGTTTCGCTCTCGCACCTGTTGATGCATCTGCTTTAAAAGGTTTGTAACATTAAAATATTTTATTTGTAATTGTAATATTAACCGTTATAATCTAACTTTAATAAAATTAATAGGATTCACAAAAGCAAAACGCAAACGTAAACTCATTGTGGATGAAGTAAAAAATATTTCTGGTGAAGAAATGAAAGCACAATTATCAGATATTAGTGATATTATTACCACATTAGATTTGGCACCGCCCACGAAAAGATTAATGCATTGGAAAGAAACTGGTGGAGTTGAAAAATTGTTTGCTTTACCGGGAAGACCAATACCGGCACGTGTATTATTTAAGGTAAATTGAATATTTATTAACGTATTTCGTATTTAATAATATATATTTGCTATTTAACAAAAATTCTGTTTTTTAAAAATATAGAATTATCAACGACATTTGACTAGCAAGTCTTATGATCATGAAGACTTTGGACGTTTAGTAGGTGAAGAAGAAGGTATGTCTTTGGAACAAATGAGAGAACCTACGGAACCTGATTCATATGAACAAACTATTCTCAATAAACGCATGGCTCGCAAACGAAAAGCACCAGCAGATGAAGAGGTACTTTATGTTATCTATTTCTGTTTCTTTTTTTCTTTTTCTTTTTCTTATTATTGTTATTTAAATTATTTAAATTGTTATTTAAATTATTTTCTTTTTCTTTTTCTTATTATTGTTATTTAAATTTTAATAATAATAATAATGTTATTTAAATTTTAATAAGCACTAGTTACAAAGATTTATTGATATTCTATTATTTTTAGATAAGACCACCACCTCCAGCACCAGCACCTCCTTCAGTAGATGCTGCTCCTGAAACAGTGGAAGTTCCTAGTATGGTTTCCCAACCAAGTCTTCCCCTTGCAGAATCATCAATACCTCCACCTGAAGTATCTTTACCAATTGAATCATCAGTATCCGAAATTAGTGGTATGGTGCCTCCTGTTGAAGAAGCAGAAATGGTTCCTGTAGTTCCCGAAGCATCTTTACTTCCTTCAGAAATTCCTGAAATTCCTCCTACTGAAGTTATTGCTACATCTGAAGAGTCAGTTGTTCCATCTGCGCCAATAGAATCAGAAGTCATCCCTACGCCTGTTGAAATGCCTCAAATGGAAAATATGGGCTATGATCAGGTTAGTTTTATTGAATATATAAATATTTGTACAATATTGTACAATGAATTTGCTTACATAATAGGCGCAACCTCAGGAATCTTTTGGCATGGGTTATGATGAACATCCTCCACCACCTCACACACCAGCTGTATCGGAAAGAGGGCCAGCAACACCATGGAATCATGAAGATTATGAATTTCCACCATCTGTAGGACCTGTATGCATGATATTTATTTACTTATATTAATTAGAAATTATAAGTATATGTAATTTTTTTTTATTTTTACAGCAAGAAGAACAACAAGTAGATGAAACTTATGAACAGTTCGAAGAACGAGTTCTTAACAAAAGAGCTTCGCACATGTATCATGTCATCAAAAGTAAACTAGACACCAAAGATAGACTTACACTGTCGGAAATGGCATATAAAAACAATCGTAAACAGGTTTGTACTTTAAAACGTAATTAGCAGAAAACTATGTAACTTATATTATTATTAATTATTTGTTTTAGGTTGCACAAAAATTCTACACATTATTAGTTCTAAAAAAATTCCAAGTATTAGAACTCAATCAAGACTATCCATATACTGAAATTGTAGTCAGCAAAGGACCAAAATTCGAGACTCCTGCATTATAAAATTGCTCTAGGTATTTCTTACGTTACATTTATTGTTAAAAAATGACAAAGATGATTGTAGTTATTTTTAACCGTACATAAAATAAGCGATTTATCTAAATTCTTTTGAAAGATAAATTGTAAAATAGCTATTATAACTCTGGGGGAATATCTGCATAAGATAAAGAAATTTTGTAAATCATGTTTTAGATTCCTAATTCAGGAATGTATACGTTTTGTATAAAACAGAGCAAAATTATTTTGGACCTTCTGTATTTTTATTGTGATGAAAACGATTTAATCAAGTGCAAATTATTACAAAAGAATATATAATAGTTTACATTAAAAAATCAATTGTCTTCAAATTTATTATTAATCCGAACAGGGTTTGTATATAATATTAATATGTAGTAAAAATATATCTTATATCTTAATATTTACAAGTATCTTCTTGAGTCTATGCTACAGGATGGTCCAAAATTACTAACAATTGTGTAAGATAATTTATGAAATTTGATAAAAAAAATTCTGTTAAAAATTTTATAAAATGAGATTATGTATGGTTTAAACTTATTGTATCTATTAAATCTATATATTATTTTCAAATATTCTTAAACTTAAAAATATCAAACACCTTACAATGATTTTTTTTCATTAGTGTACTTACACATTAATTGCTATTGTGAACAATTATTAATGGAAGAATCAAGGAAATATTTTATGGATAATGCTTTTATGTATTGCAGTCATACTTTAGGATCAATAGTTGATAACTAAGTTATTTTTCAAATCTATATAAATATTATTTACTACTATATATTGTTTACACTGGATATAATCTGTATAGTTACTTTTTCATATGAATTATTGCAAATTTATGATCCATTATAATTTATATTTACATTGTAAACAACATTCCAAAGAACATTGATTTAATAGTCATACTTTTTTGTTTTAATTTTCTTTATTGATCAATCGTTTCATTACGCTTTGAAGAAAACTTATTCATAAAAAAATAAAAATTATTTGTCTTCTATTTTTTTCAAAGAAAATATGATTAGTAATTTAATTAGTTCGACCATAAAAAAAAATGTTCAGTAATTTATTATTATATACGTATACCAGTTTCATGGAATACAAATGTTAAATCATATTTTTAAAAAGTATATTTTATCAAATCAACATGTCAGAAATTTCTCAAAAAAATCATATAACATTGTAAATACATGCACAATAAGCAACATAAACTATCATTACGCACGTAATGATGTTTAAGGCGTATGAAAAAAGTCGACTGCTATACTATATACTTAAAATGCCTGATTGTAAATAATCTCATGAGTCACTAATCAATATACATCTGTTTATAAAATAAAAAAAAGATTTTTGAAATATTTTCTTTAAAATTTGAACCCTAAAGTACATATCACATATACTTAAAAATATTAATCCATTATTTTCCATTAATAAACTGTTACCCATGTGAAAATTTATTAAATTAAAAGATTGATTATTTTAAGATCTTTTTTGTTTAATTATATAAACTACATAACGTATAAACTATATTTATGTATTAAGTATTTTTTTATAATAGGTGTATTTATTGTACTAAAATATATTTAAAATTGTTATTTTAAGTTAACAAATTTTCATTCCGATATTACTGTATCTAGTTTTTAAAAATTACACTTTGAATGATAAATAACGTATTATATTCATTAGCTTTAAATCCCATCACTTTTCAATTATATTATTGAAGGATATAATAATATTAATTTCACGAAAGCTATAAAATTTACTGTTTTCAATGTTCTAATATATTCTCGTATTATTGTTTGAAGTGTAGAAGATTGTGTGTAAAATATATACACAATATTTTTGTATGTGAAAATTTTATTTAATTCAGAAAATTCATTCATGAGAATGTATTAATATTAATGTTAAGTTGCAATTTTCTTATCGCTAAATTATGAAATAGTATTCATAATAAAGAATAAATTAATCTTTCTGACATAAATCATGTGAAAAAAGATGAATAAATGCATTTTAATTTTATTCTTCCAATTCGCCAGATTCCATTGCATCACGATATGATTTATCTCTTGAACGTTCTGGATCTAATTTGATCATATCATCAATTCTAAGAATAGTTATTGCTGCTTCCGTAGCAAATTTCAAAGATTTTATTTTTGAAATTGCTGGTTCTAATACTCCGGCTTTTTTATTATCTTTAATAGTACCCTCAAGTAAATCCAAACCAACCCTATAAATTAATATTAATATTACCTTATTATCTCACTAAATATATACAAAGAATTTTACTGTATAGATATTTATTTAAAAATATTACCATTTTAGATCTGCAAGATCTGCTTTTGTTTGACTGGAATTGTGATAAGCACGTAATTTTGCTACAAGATCTGTAGCATCTTGAGCCGCATTAACTGCTAACGTCTTCGGTATAACCAATAATGATCTGGCAAATTCAGCAATAGCTAATTGCTCTCGAGAACTCTATAAAATATAAATATTTTAATCCAAACATGATTTATTAATTTACGACATTAAAAAAAACTAAACTTACGAGTGATGTAGCAAAATTTTCCAAATAAATTGAAAGTGCTGCTTCAACACAGCCACCTCCAGCAACCACGCTTTTACTTTCTAAAACTCGTTTCACAGCGCATAATGCATCATGCACAGATCGTTCCATTTCATCACAATAATAATCATTTGGTCCTCGTAATATCATAGAACTTGCTGTTCTTGCTTTCGGTCTATTACAAATGATATTAAATTAATTTTTACTTTTATATCTTTTCATTTAAACTAACAAACTTAAAAAACCAACCCTTTGATAAGAATGAGTTCATCGTCGCAAATCATTTCTTGTATTACTTCAGCAGCTTCTCCAAGAAAACTAGAATCAAAACTTTCTTCTCCTTCCATATTAGTTAAGGAAGTTAGAAATTGGGCGCCTGTAGCTTTTGCAATCCTTTTTAAATCTGCTTTTTTACATCTACGAACTGCCATTGCTTTAGCTTCTATAAAATACTAAACAAATATTATATGAATTTGTCATATCCGAAATAAAAAAGAACAATAATTTTTATGTAATTTAAATATACTTTTAAACAAAGATCATCGATTCCCCCAGATACAAGAATGACATTTGTACCCGCTGCAAGAATCTTTTGAATACGTTCTTTTGTAATATCTGCTTCGCGTTGTCGCACTGCTTCTAATTTTTCAGGATCTGTGATCAATACTTCAACACCTAATTTCATTTTTGTCTTCTGCAAAGAGAAATCTAAACATGCAATTTTTGCATTAATTATTCTTTTATTCATTGCCTGAGAAGCTACAGTGCAATTTAGTGCATAACCCTGCACTATCACAGACTCTCTAACACTTTTTCCATGAGCTTTTAAAACATTGACTGCTTTTACAGGATATAGAAATCCTCCTTTTCCATCACTAACTTTTACTGCATTTATAGCATCAACAACCATGTTTCCAAAGAAATCGGCATCACTATTAATTTATTAAGAAAATAATAATGATAATATAATCAGTTTCTGTAAATATGATCATATAATTAAATAAAAATAAGGATACGCTCCAATGATCTTGCTGGACATAGAAGTTTTTGCCACATTAACTAAACAATCTCTCCCAAGCTCGTCTACACTGACAGTTAAATGCTCTTGAATATATTTACAAGCTTCTCTAAAATATAAATAATTGAAAATAATAAATGAAACACATGTAAAAGATCTTTATTACTTCTTTCTTACTTTTACTACTTTCTTACTTTAAGATTTTATAAATTTATTTCAATAATATGCAATAAATTTATTTCAATAATATGAAACACTTACTTGCAAGCAAGTCTGTATCCACTAATTACAGATGTTGGATGAATCTTCTGTTTTACAAGTTCATCAGCATTTTTTAATAGTTCAGCTGCAACTATTACCTATTTGGAAGTTGTGCATTTTTTACTTGAATTTTTAGTTAAATTTATTTAAATATAAAAAATTAAATAAATGAGCTTACTACTGATGTAGTTCCATCTCCAACTTCTTCATCTTGTAGTTGGGCTAATTCTACCAAAACTCTTGCAGCTGGATGTTCAACTTCTAACAAGCGTAAAATAGTTGCTCCATCATTAGTAACAGTAACATCCTATAATAATTAAAGTATACAAAATAATTATTTGAAAAATAATATAGTCAATCTTTATTCAAATATAAAATGTACCCCAATGTCATCTACAAGCATTTTATCCAAACCAACAGGGCCCAAAGAACTTTTCACTATATTAGCGATTGCACAAGCAGCCATGACTATAAAAAAAATAAGACAGAATAAAGTAATTACATTTCATACATCATATATGCTCAACAAAATGTGCATTTTTTTATTTTTAAACTTTTTTTTATTTATATTATTTCTTAAATTAAAAAATTATTTTTTTATTATAACATTATATGTTATAATAAATTTCGAAATCTGAAAAGACATAATAACAAAAAGTTTTCGCAAAATAATTGTCAGGAAAATCCGTATTTGAACAAATATCGAATAAATTGAACTATAACCAAATTTTTAACCAACATACCATTTTGTGTTCTTACAGGAGCTCCGGATTGTCGAATACCACCAACAACTAGAGGACTAGCTACTGTCGACATTTTATGATATTTTTGTTATTTTTTTTTTTAAATTACAGGTAAATGGCAGTTTCTAAATTTCAAATGCCGACAAAATTATATCCACAAAACGATTCGCGTGTGGTTACTACTGATTGCTGATGAAGATGATCAGCGACGCCTATTCCAATTATTATTTCCTTTTATGGACAAGCTTAAAATTATTTTCTATTGGTTGGACTGTTCTGTATTCAATATTTAATTGGTACTGGACGAAACTGGACAAAAAATTGTTTCCAGTATTTTCTAGAAACATTATTATATTTTTAATATTATAATTATATGCAATATTTGATATAATTTGTAAAATAATTATTTATTTATTAACGTATTTACGTATTAACATAATCTTTTATGAAATCTTTTATGAAATATTAATATTCTAAATTGAAATATAATATGTATATTTTAAATACTTTTTTTATTATCATCTCAATTTTAAAGTTTCAATTTTGTTTTCATAGAAATAATTTGCGAAGTTGGCAATCATTAGCTGATGATGTGATATTTCTATGAAAACCAAGTAAGTTACAATGAAAACTACTTGTTATTTGTTTTTTAATTATTATTTATTTATTTTGTCTTATACATTTTATTTTAAATGTTTAATAATTTTATTTCATAGTAATTGATAATCTCTTTAAAGATGAAAAGTTTATGATGTAATGTTATAATCCATCTAGAAAGAAAAAAAACTAATTGTATAGTATTATACTTTAAATAATTATTAAGTAATTACTTTCAGATATGACATTATTAACACAGTTGTGCGCTTACACTTTAAAAAATTCTAAATCTCTTGTGAACACTCTTACTATTAATCTAGGTTTGTAGAAAATAAATATATTATATTCATTAATCTTTCTTGCAATACAAAAGAGATAAATACTTCAAATTTATATAAAATGAATGTTATTTATCCATGTGATACTATTTTCAATTTTCATATTAATAGCATGTGTAAGATATGCATCGAAGAAGGCTAGTAGTAGTACACGTAATAAACCTTGTAATGTAAGACCAAAACATAGAGGATGGCGAGTACAAGATGGTGTTTTTGTAGAAGAATCTACAATATTAGCTACACAACGTACACCTAGATTTCATCCAGGATTATATGTAAGTTTAATTATATTTTTCGAATATTCTACATATATTATTTATTACATAAAGATACATGATTTGTTTCACAGGTTGGTTTTGGTAAAAATGGTACATTATATGCTTTAGAAAAAGGAAAAGTAATTGTTACCTGTGAGCAAATTGATCCAAATTTAGATCATTCTTGGGCTAGAACACATTATGCAGGCAGAGAAAACTCTGTTATATATAAAAAACATTTTAATGTTATTCCTGAACCACAACATAACAGATTTGTATTAATTGATGCAATTTAAATAAAATTTTGTTAGTGTATTCATATTTTAATTATAATAAAAAGCATAAATATGTAAGAAAAAAAACAAAATTGTTTCTTAATCTATTTTATCATACATTAATACTTAAAAATATATTAATACTTATAAATTCAATACTTAAAAATATTTTATATTTGTTAACCCTTTGTACTCCGAATTTTCAATTTTTTTTTTTTTGGCAATTTAACTGGCAATTTAAAAATGTTGAGTATGACTCGACATAATTCCTGTGATAAAAACTGATGTTGACTCGACAAAAGAGTGCAAAGGATTAATCATATATATTATTCAAATATTGTTAAATATTTTCAAGTACAGCACTTTCTGCCCACTGGAATGATTGGTATTTTATATCTTGATTTTCAGAAAAGAAAGCATATACTTGTGTCTTTCGGACATGGCAAGCAATTCGACACTGTGCTGAAAGTTCAGTTATTGGAATTTCTTCTTTTTTATCTTTACATACAATTATAAATTGAGAATGAAACATGATGGGATCTCCTATAAGAAAGATGTAAATAATTAAAATATTTATTTATTCTCATTGATATTCTCAACAAATTTTATGTATATATATATATATATATATATATATATATATATATATAT